TGTAGGACCCACACGGCCCTGTGCACATAGAGGCACCATAGAACCACACGAAGGCCTGTAGGGCACACCTGGACCCATGCGCACTGAGGTCCAGGGATGCCGCACCAAGGCCTATAGGGCCCCCATGGCCCCATTTGTATGGAAGCCCCAGGGGGCTGCATGAAGACCATAGGATTGCCTTGGTGCCGTGTGCATGGAGGCCCCAGGAGGGTCACATGAAATCTGTAGAGCCTCCTGATCCTATGCGCACAGAGGCCCCGGGGAGCTGCACGAAAGCCCACCAGCTCCCAGGGTCCCGCATGCACAGAGGCCCCCAGGAATATGCACCAAGGCCTGTAATCTCCCCTGTCCCCTTGTGGACGGTTGCCCTAGAGGTCTGCATGAAGCCTTGTAGGGACACCTGGACTCATGCGCATGGAGGCCCCGAGGGGCCACATGAAGGCCCAGAAGGCCTACTTGTCCCCATATGCATGGAGGCCCCGGGAGACTGCACAAAAGCCTATAGCCCCCCCCCAGCCCCGTACACACTGAGGTCCCGGGGAGCCACACGAAGGGCCATAGAGAGTTCCCAGACCCTTGCGCATGGAGGGCCTCAGGTACCACACAAATGCCCATAGGACCCCCCAGGGCTCGTGCACAGAGGACCTCACCAAGGCCCATAGAGCCCCCCCGGCACTGTGCTTATGGAGGCTCCATGGGTCCGCATAAAGGCCCATAAGGATCCCCCAGTCCCATGTGCACAGAGGTCCCAGGGGGCCACACCAAGGCCCGGCGTGCTCCCATGCACTTGTTCGCACAGAGGCCCTGGGACACCGCACCAAGCCCTGTAGGGACTCCCAGCGCATTCACCATGCGCATCACCACCCAGGTTGGCTGCACCAACGCCCATGGGGCTCCCTTAGCCCCATGGACATGGGGCTGGAGGGGCGCTATGGCTTTCTTAGCATGGGTAACCCACACAGGGTGGTTAAGGACTTGAGCTAGAAACCTACTGTGTATCTTGATCTCCAGTTTCAAGTCCTACTAGCAATGGAGTACATGGGCTGTTAATCCCAGGAATGAGGGTCTCGTGCAGCATTTCCACAATTTACTGTGCCAAGAGAACATCTATTTTTGGGGGGTTTTGCGGCACCAGGAACCATCAGGGTGCAAAGTTAAGTAAGCATTACATGAGTAACCTGGAAAGGGAGGAAATCTGCCGTGGGACAAGTGCAGGCTCTGAGCATGGCATCCACCTCATCATCATCTTTCTACCTGCAGTAGCTTTCTGCATATTTACTAGGCACCAGCCGTGTGTTTGCGTGATGCGTAGGCAAAAATGTAACTTTGTCTTCCCTGTGGAGCTTGAAATCTGAACTTTTTGCTCAGTTCTTATTTTATTCTGATTGGCTGGCTCACACTGAGATCTTGGTTCTCACATATTTTACAGGTGATTCTTTTCCAAAGCTATAAGAGCAAATGTAAGACCTGTGAGGCTGAAGTCTTCGCACACTGTTGTACTAGCTGTGTTACTGTTATCTTCATGTGAGGATTAAATTGTCATCTTATGTTCAGTGCTGGAAAAAGCAAAGTGTGTGTCAGCGATGGTCACAGTGGATTTAATGCCTGGGTTGCAGTTACTTTGAGTATCACTCATGTGACACCCATAGAAGACAAGTCGGCGCATTGGTTGTGGTGCGGTTTGGAACTGGCCAAATCAGATGAGACAGTTATTTTTACTAAAGTATGACACAGGTCTAAACCCCACGGTGCTGAAAGCTCTGTATTTTAAATTAATAAAATGAATGTTTGTTTTTGCAGATCCCTCTCCAGTGTCAGAGTAAAGCAGGATTGTTGTTGCAATTCTCCCTGCCTCATGTGTGCCTTCCGCACTATGACGGGTAAGAGGAATAGTCACCTGCCTACATTTTATGATTTGAACACTAGAGGACACCAGTCGGCAGATCCTGTGCTGAAGAAATTGAATGGATTATTTAATGATCAGACCCGTCGTTGAGATTATTGCACCCACAGTGCGATGATTTATAGTCATTTTCATTGCTTGTCCTCTTCCGTGGTCATATAGTTTCTAATTTGTTTTGATATGGCGTGATTCAGCAGAGTCTCTGCTTAGCATTCTTCCTCTGATGGGAAGGACAAAGGCTGTTACTTAGTCTTCCCTCTTAAATCTTTGCTATAAATAACTCGAAGTTATTTATAACCCAGGCAAGACTGAATGGTTTATGGTGATGGTGACTCAGGCCTTTAAATCTTTTTAATTATAGTCAGAGCTATTGCTGCCATGTCATATTTTTATGCTTACACAAAAGGGCCGAAAATCTTTAATGATTACTCATTAAAGATGCCTTTCCTCTCCACTGCTGAACTTCAATGTAGTGGATGCTTAAACCTTTCACATAAAAGACAGCATAAAAATCTCTTATCTAAATTAATTTCCGCTTAGTGTTCTCATGTTAACGCTTGGGAGGGCACAGGCTGAGGCAGCGGGAGCTGTTGGTGTCTCAAGCAGCCCTTTGTTTGGACTTCAAAGTGCACATAGCCCAAGCGTGGGCCTTGGCCAGGCCACAGCAGGACTCATCCCAGCCCTGGGGCTTTCCAGCGCCGCTCCAAGCCCTAGCACTGATTGGGAAGAGCCTCAGGATGACTCTGTTCCCCAGCTCCCAGGGATGATGGGCAATAGGACCCAGCTCTGGAACCTGCTTCTGCACCTTAATGTGACTTCTCTCTCCTTAAAATTGACAGCTTGAGAACTACGGTCAAGGCCTTTTGAGTGACGCGTAATGTGCAGCTGCTGAGTAATGGATCAGTCCTGCGAGGTTGTGTTGAGTATGTGGCAGTTCGAACTAATGCTGAGGATATACATAGTAAGTGAGGTGCCCGTTGGTTCAGAATGCCACTGCACTAGAGCCGTGCAAAACCTTCTCCTGCATCTTGCAGATCCGTACCATTTAGTGGTATCTGAGTTTGAATACAATGGCTCTCACCAGAACTGACTTCCACTTGCTGTTCTAATTTTTTAGCAGTTACCTCAACGGAAGAAACTTATCTAATTTGAATGCTAAGATTAAATAAAATAAAATAAAATAAAAACTTCATTTTTTCTTTTTTTCTTTTGCTGCATATCCGTATCAATGAGGCATTCCCTCCATGGACGCCTTAGAGACTACGTCAAGGTGTATGCACAGCGGTGGGTGTGTTTATATAGCTTACAATAGCTCTTCCCCTTCTGTCTTGGTGGCTGCTGGCCCCCTGCACTCGCTAAATCTGGTATTGACGTGCATGTACACCTGGCTGTTAAAAACAGGGCTTTATTTTAGCTGCCACTGGCTTGGGGGACAAGGGGTTGTTCTCTCTTGCAATGCATGAGATCAGCTGTGCCTGGTAAGGGCAGTAGTGTTCACAGGTGTGTTTGGGAACACAAGAAGCCTTTTAGGTGGCTGGGCAGGATTGCTAACATCCTCAAGATTTAGTGTGACAACAGAGTCTTGAGGATGATGAATTTCCCTCTAATGAGTAAGACCTGTTAGGAGACTTTGCCTTCTTCTGTAGCAAGACACTGGAAACATCCCTTCTCTTTTCTCTTTTCATTGCTCATTCTACTTCTCATATATGATACAGACAAGAATTCCTCAACATGAAGTGGCCTAGGAGGTATAAGATATTATTCTGTAAGGTCTTGAATGGACCGAATAGGGCCTGTGCATCACCACTATAAGGTCAAAAACGTGTGCAGAGGAGAGGCTTAGTGGTTGCAGGAAGCCTATGCAGCTTGTGCAAGAGATCTACAAAAAGAGCAAACCACGGTGCATGGAGCACATCTTTTATTCAATAAGCAAGCAAGCACAGAAGTATAATGTGTAGTGCTTAATATTCATACAGTACTAAAAATATAAAAATAGAAATAAAATTTCACCGAAAGCATTTTCACTCACAAATATACAAGGAAAAGTGCTGTCAAGCCACATCATGCTACACTACTTGCCAGCTGCTGAACTGATAGCTTGTTTCCCAGCATAACTGAAACAGTAAGTATCTGCTAGTCCTTCCTCACAGCCTATATTGTGACCGAATAGTGGACTAGCAAAAATGGGCCTTCTGCAGCTGAGAACCTAAAAAACATTGATGTCATTAAGGAACAATGATAAAATAATTCTGGAGAATTTTATTGTGAAACTAGCCTGTTGCAAGCTGCTTGTGCAACTGCCTTAGCAAAAAAAAAAAAAAAAAAGGCGCTACAGAAATAATAAACTTAGTTTTGACAATAATGCAGATGGTTCATTGCTAATAATTCTCAAGACTGTATTCTGCATGAATATTTGTGCAATACTCCCATCTGGTGGCATATTTTTAAACTTATTTTCCTCAGTGCTGCTGACTCCTGCACCTGCTTACAGTGGAACATCCATCCATCTTCCACTTAGGAGTGATGGGATCAAGTAGTACAGACCGTGAGCCAGGCCCTGAACTTCGAGGATCTGGGCTGAACTAGGGCAGACCCAGCACCTGCTCTTACTGTATCCACTGGTCTGTACAGGAAACTGGCAGGGCTCAGAGACACTGTTCTGTGAAGAGAGATACCTGCACTGGATGCCTCATGTTTAAGTTGCATTTTAAGGGCATGGGGCAGCCTTGGGAGCTCGAGACGCTCCTGTTTGCTGACCTTTTGCACGGAGCTGAACTTCAACCACCACAAAACCAGCTGCAAGCTGTTAGCCACGACAGCGTGGGTGGCTTGTGCACCGCAGGGGCAATCACAGCGGTATTTCCTAAGAAGGCCTGGCTTACAGAGTAAGGCAGCACACAGAGCCCACTCGTAAGTCATACAGGTGAAGGAGAACTTAATGGGAGCCCCACTTTAATCAGGTACTATTTTGGAATGGGATTGATTTGTACTCGATATACCAGCTATAAAAATAAATGTGGCGATTAACCCCTGAGATCATTCTAGCGTACAGTTTTGGCCTGTTAACTTGTTTCCCTCTGAAATAATTTGTATTTGGTTACGGACATTTATTTAGGTTTTAGTGAAAAGCTTCTATAAAACACATTAAATAATGTGGGACTGAAAAGGCGTGTACATTCTAGTTGCATATATGATACATACCTTATACGCATATAATACATTCCATAACAGCTGATTATTCTAGTATTGTCTAGGAAGTTCTTTTGTGTGGACAAAGGATTAAAATACTAAAAGATAAACAGCTGTGTAGGATCAAGGATAATCGTATTTGCTATGGTTTACTTAGATTGTTCTCTTTTCTTTAAATCTCGTTACACATAATAGCTACAGTAGTTTGTCCAGCAAGTAATAAATGAATGCATAAAGCACTTCTAGCTATATTTGGATATCATAGGCATGCATTTTTTATAAATAAAAATCAAATGTGAGGTCGCATTTTCCCATCTTCTGTTTGTAAACTAAATCAAATTTCTCATTCATTGAAACAGTGAAGATGTCTTTCCATAGCCCAACTCGTCCTGAAACACAGAGAGGGAACACAAGTCAGACAGCTAACATGACAGGACACTAAATTTCAAAATATGCTCTGCGAGATGCTAGTAAGCTTGAACCTTCATTGAAATTTAATGATACCTAAGGCTGGTTCAACATCTTGCCCAGTTCACCCTGCTACAACACCCATAGGGCCTTAAAATAGGTGCCATTCACCTTGCTGCCTGCATAGGTGAGTATTACACAGGAAAAACTTACAATTTTGGAAGATTGTGTTCTATAACTTTAACTTTAATGCAGATTTTGTTTTGATTATTAATTTAATTGGAGGGTTCTGATTTCCATGCAAATGATGGTTGTTTAATATTGCTACCTAATAATCTAATAACTAATAGGTAAATATTTCAAGATTTATGTACCTTCAATATAAACTGGTTGGAGAACCATCCAGAAGGAATATCAAATATTATTTAAACTGATTTTGATTATTGATATAAAATAACACTAATTCCGATTGTACTTATATTTAAAGGTGAATAAAAGTTCAACAGAGGAATTTAAGGTTCTCAAAATGGAGAAAAGCAATATGTCAAGTATGACGGAGTGCCTAGATTACATGTAGGGATAAAACATCCGTGACATTTTTTACTTTGTGCACAGGTGCAGGAAGGTTTTGGAGGCTGAACACGTTTTCGTGTACAGAATATTTTTCTGTTCTATTGAACCCAACTAATAATATTGCCTGACAGCACCATTGAAGTTATTAGACAAATGTTGCAACCTTCTTCACCACTGTTTCATTACAGTTTAAATTTATTTAACCTAAACGAAGTCAGCCAGGTTTACTTGCTGGTGAATCAGCCCCATGGAGTAACTGTCTTATTTATACTGAGACATAGTAACGACAAAATCCAGGTTTGTGCAACTGGAATAAATGGAAGGAGAACTGGGACCATGCTCCTACGGAGTTTATTCATAACAAGAACAAAAACATGTGCTGGGGGCTTAATTATGCTTTTGATGCATATGAAGAATACCCATTTAATTTAATTACCATTGCCTTTGTGCAGCAAGTCTCTGTTTGAGTTCAAGAACAAAACTGTCTGGAATTTCCACAAATTACCCATTAACATGATGAAATTAGTATGTGTGGCAAGGGTCATTCCATGAAATCGGGACTCTCCTAGAACTACTGAAGACAGGACAGTGTTCCAGCACACAGTCAAGATCCAAAGATCGAAAGAACTTGACACAGACAGAAAAGGTGTCGTTCAAGGTTTGGGCCAAATTTCTCCTGTATCCAACAGGCCTTTAAGAAAATTCTTTCAATTGTAAACATCTGATACTCGTTTCAGTTTTGCTTTGGAAACTGGCATAAAGTATAGCATGAAACATAGAAACATACATTTCTCTTTCAATAATGATAAAACATTTTCTTCCATTGCTCAGAATTTTTTTTTTCTGAATCTCCCTACCAATACCAAAGAACATATGACAAGTTTTATAAAGGACATAAGAAGTGGAGTATTTGTAAGATTTTTTTACCATATGGATTGATAACTTGTCAAAAAAGTCACCCACCTGGTTTATGATTTGAATCATGCAACTGTGTAAATTATGAGGTGATATGAGTCAAATATAAGTAACATATCTAATCATTGTTCTGCTTTCACAGCAGCTCAGGATTATCTTCAGAGTAAATGTGCTAAAAGAAAAAAATGAAAAAACTAAAATAAAGCAAAATAATAAAATAGATGTAACAAATCACAAATTAAAATATTTGAAACAAATTAAAATAAGACATTATGTTATTGCCACACTTTTTTGTTGTATAAATGAACAGAAGAGGAAAAAAGCATCTGTTAATGAAGCTGCATTCTATAGTAACAAAACATTGTAAAAGCCAGAGACAGTGAACCAAAGAAATTCAAAATAAGGGTATTTTTGATAAAAAGCACACGGTGAACAAATGACAAAACGTTAAATTAACTGCTGTAGCTCCCTTCCTTCTCTATTACAAAGTGGATCCTTCTTTTTGGGAAGATTTATATGGGGTAGTAAAAAGAGGCTCTGGATCCTTGACTGGGGGTCTGGTCCAGAATGGAGCACGTGGCAAATGTGGGAGTCGCCCTGTTTATCCACATGGACGTGAACTGGCCGGCGCAGATGGGAGTAGCCCCGTCTGCTTGTGGAAGGTCGCGGGGTTTCTCCAGTTTCTCTGTTAGGACAATCTCACCTTTCTTTTGCAACCACCTTCTTGGTTTTCAACACCTTTCACAAGAAGGCAGGATGGCTGCTGTGCTATCGCTTCGCAGGATTCAGAATCATAAAATTTAGGAACGAACCTTGATTTCGGTTCAACTTCATACAAGTGAACTGAGGAGAGAGCAACTCTATTGTTGATAGAATTTTGCCCTTACTTTAGCAAATGCAAAATCTAGCCTGCTTCACCATTGCCCTCAGGGTACCTTAGCCGCTCTGAACAAGGGCTCTTGGCAAACACTGACCTTCTGAACAGTTTGTGCCAAAGCACAAACAATTACCCAGGTCAGCTACTCTGACCAGAGTCTCAGCAAAGGAATAAAAATCGGCATAAGGCTCTGCCAAAAAAAGACATAATGGTAGTAGTTAATACCAGTGAACCTGCTTTCATGGGGGAAAGATCTTCTCAAACAAATCTGATTAAATGTTGATAAGATTACAGCCTGACTGATTAAAGGTGAATGCAAACTCTCAATAGACTTCTGTAAGGTACTTGATTTTAGTGTCTTTTTAATAGAATTATGTTTTATTTCAATAAAATGGAAAATAGTGAATAGACAGCTGGCTATCAAGAAGGACTGATGATATTTGATATACTAATCGGGGATCTGTAAATAATTATAAATTTATAGCTGATAAAATTTGCAGATAACAATAAGCGTGCCCACAAGGTGGTATGGAAAGGGCTCCCGCACAGATACCTAAGAGCCAAGTATTCAGACCATGCTCCCATAATAGTAAGGGATAATAGCCTGTAAGTCATTTTCTTTGAAAAGCTTTTGTGGTCATGACGAGCTGCACGTTCGATACTGCAGCAAAAATTGCTGATGTGGAAGGACAAAAAGAGCAGGGGAGGGTGTAGAAAATTCCTGTCTTAAAGTCATTTTATGTCTGGATAAGGTATTCGTGAGGCTGACACAGGAACTCTCCATCTAGCTTTTATGCCTTCATTTTTAAAAAGAGCTGTTAAGTGCTATAAAGCAGCAGACAGAAAATAATTTGAGGGAAACTTACTGAGTTCACTGTTACGCTTATCAGAAAGAAGACTGAGAATGGATCAGTTTTCTTGCTGTTTCCAAAGGACAGATGTTTCAGCCCATCAAAAGGCCCTCCAGTTTCCTAGAGAAAAGCCTCACAAGAATAAAGAGCTAGAAGCTAAACCCCAACTCCAAGTTAGAAATATGGTATATATTTTAAATAACTGATGTAGGCGAAGAAAAGAAAAAGCTCATACAAAAAAAAAAAAAAAGACAACTGCAGGTCCTTGTCATCTGATGCCTTCAAATTAGTATTACTTGCTCTTCTAGAAAACCTGATATGATGAAACACACAGGCCAGGATGGACTGTGTGCAATTCTGAGGGCTTTAATACAACAAAGGTCCAAAGGAGCCGAGCCATCTGCTTGGCCTGCAGAGCTGCAGGAGGGCAACGCGCTGTTCCACGCGCGGACCCTAGCCAGGGACAGCTCCTCTCATAGGGCAGGTGGGGCTGGCGCTGAATACGCACCACTGATCTTAACATTTCCATTCCTTTCTAGTCACTTAACCTTATATCAGACCAAACAAGCCACTAACATCCTACTGCACCAGCAGTTTCCTTCCATCCTTTACACAGCAGTGTTTTGCCAGCATCTTAACACACCCTGGAGGTTACTGATCTGCCAGCTGCCTCCTGCAGGGAGAGTTTTACCGTGGGTTTGGGACGTACCCCTGCCGACAGGAAGTGCTTCTGCGTTGCAGCACTGATCGATGAGCTGGTGGCAGTGCTCCACCATGGACTCCAGCTGTGCTTTGTCATAGGAAACCCCCAGGAACCTCACCAGCTGCTCAACCATTGTGGCTAGGTCCTGCAAGAGAACGTTTGAGTTGATTTTGCAGTATTTTTTATTTTTAAATGAGATTTAAATGAGTTCTGAAGAAGTGTTGAAGATGAAAAATACAAGTGCCTATGTTGCAAAAGCATCAGTATCTGAAATTTTTACCAGTTTTCAGATTTGCTGAAAATAAACCTGCACCTTCCAGCATATTTGGGGAAGGCAGACATATAGATAGAGAACCTAATCATGCAAGGTAGCATATTCAGATACTAGAGAACAGGAAACTGCAACGTAATTGTGGTTTCTCTCTTAAGAGATCACTTTGGAATACCAGCATATATGAGAGAGTGGAGGGGCGAGGGGCAGGAATTATTTTCATTATGGTCTGGATAAAGTACATGACTACAAATGTTAGAATAGCTCCTCCTTCACTGTCAGCCTCTGGAAATGTGTTCATATAGATTGAAAGGAAAAGACAAGGTGAGGTGGTCTCTGAGAACAAGCAGTCATTAAGTTATGCATGCAGAACCCTAAAGAGGACCCTCAGAAATATCACTTTTCTGAGATGGCTAGAAAAAAACTACAATGTTTAACAGGAAGAAGGAAGGTGCTGTGATGCTCCCAACTTTCAGCAGCATCATTAAGGGGCAGTTAATATTTTGTTATAGAAAATGATGACTTTGAAATCATTGCTTCAGAACTTTAAAAACCATTCCTGATACGCCCTCCTTCAGAATCCCACTCTGTCAGAAATACAGTAAATTACATTTATAATTTGCCTTGCCCAGCTTTATTGAGTTTAAATTCAAATTACAATTTACCCAGCTTTATTGAACTCTGTCCTGGTTTTACCTTTCTGCAGGTTTAGACATATGAGCTGGGTTCTCCCTACATTTGCATTAATTCTGTGTTAGTTAAATCTGTGTTTTGAAACATTTACATTCATTCTCAAAAGTATATCATTGCACTGAAAAATGGAAATCTACATAGTTTACATAGTATTTTCAATAAACCTCTGACATGCAAAAGCGGATTTATTAACCAATACATTATAAGGATCCAAAAATTATATTCACCTCATGCCAAATTCTCACCCCTAATTGCTTTCAAGATTGGTTCACACTCAAATAATCAGAATAAATGCCACATACGCATGACAAAACAGGAGTTTTTTTTTTTTCCATTGGCATAGCACACAGAGTAAGAGATTGCTTTAAAATGAATGGCCAAGGCTGAGCATAGCAAGAGCTCTGTAGTTTCACACCTCCTCTTCTGTGCTGGTACTTAAGTAAGTGCTTCCGGAAGGCAGGCAGATTCCTGAGTGCATTACTGGGTTTCCAAAAGTGCTGGGAGTTTGTGGAAGCTACTGGATGACTGTGTTTTACAAATGGGATCAAACATCGTACACAAGAACCAAATTTCTGACTTCATGTGTTTTAAATGTGATCACACTTAAGTAATCAAAGTATCTCTTTGCTAGAACTAACCTACCTTGTGCATATCTTCATACTTGAGGAAAAGTACGTTGGCATCCATATGATGTTCCCAGAATTCTTGGACGTGTTCAAACCATGAACCATATCCTACTACAGATACAGAAGACACTATGATTTACATGAGGAATATGAACATATGTTGTTAACCCCTCTTTAGAAACGCACAGAGGAGAAAAAGAATAACTGGAGTGGTTTATGGTCAGAGGTTTACAGTTCTGCAATTAACGTATATACTGCAGCTTTTCTCAGCTAGAAGCTGGATCAGCATTGTGCACAGCTGGATAGCACATCTTCTGTGAAGGGCAACAAATTGCTGACAACCGTTATCCTTTCTTATTTAGAGAAAGATTAAGGAAACAGACCTATAAATATGCTCTGCTGTTGTTTCCAGAGAACTAAAAATCTGCTGTCAGAATATGCTACTTAGTGTTCTATATTTTGCCCCCTTTTACCTCAACCACAGTACAGACACAGTACTGTAAGTACAGGAGTATCTGCAGGATAGTACAGTAAATCTGGGCTCCCACGTGTCCAAGGCGGGTGTTGGGTGCCCCTGCAAGCACAGGGTGATGGGGCAGTCCTCATGCATCGCAAGCTGTGAGTAGGTCCAAGGTGCAGGAGTGCCAGGGATGAAAAGCTGATGTCTCCTCCCTGCTGTGTGCCACCAGCAGCTTTGACCTCAGAACTTATTTTGTTAAATGACACATCCTCATTACACAAAGAGATCAGTTTTCATAAGAAAAGACTTATTCTGTAGGTCATTTGTAAGCTCATTTTCCATTTTTATGAAGGTAAATGAACATTCCATTTCTGTTTTGTTCCACATACTTCTATGGAAAATCATAGAAGAAGTTTCACACTGGTCAAGAAAAAAAAAGAAAAAAAAAAATCCCAGCTACTCTTAATAGCAGAGGGCAAGAGTCTACGCAAGGCTGCACTAGCAGAATTTACCTACATTTTCCTTGAGAAATTCCCTTAAGCTTTAGAGAGAAATACCAAAGAATTAACATATTCAAGACTAATCCCCTGCCCATCCAACTGCAAACAACAGAGCTAACATGCAATGAATTTGTTTCAAGACGGCCAGGTTTGAGGAGGGCTAAAGAGAGTAGGATTGTGCCATGTGGGCTCAGTGCTTCTCCCTCCAGTACCACTTGGACTTTTAGGCAAAAAAAGAGCTCCTTTTCTGCTCCTTGCATTGCTTCCATGAGGTTAAAATGTTTAGCTAAATTATAAATTTATTGCATTCTAGAACATTCAGTTTGAACAATTATGGCACACAGAAGATTTTTATTGACTCTGGGAGGTTTGTGATAAATCAGCTACCTGCTACAAGATGACTCACGGTACACTTATATAAGAGAATAAAGAACCTCCCTCCCAAATTAGAAGGCCTTCAGCTTATCACTACTCTTGAAGTCACTGCCTGTGGGCTTTGGGTAAACTTCCTATTTTCAGGGAATGCAATGGAAAAAGCTGTAGGTGGGTTGGACCGGAGGGAAAGCATTTACCCTTTCTGCACACACTTGGAGAAGAAGAGTTTATAAAGTATTTTAATTAACCACCACTGTCTGGCTGTTATTTTTTTCCCCACCCTTCAGTATTATACAGTTCCTTTAGCATCAATTTCTCCAAATTCCCTATTGAAGGAAAGTTGCTGCACAGGATCTACAGGAGATCCTGGCCTCAGAGCACAGAACAGGCTTCTAGCAACTTCTTAGTGTCACTGTAAGGTACCACAGAGAAGACTTTCTACAGAAACAGAAGGCAGTCGAAAACTTGCTAATAAACTTTTTCTATTGCTGGCTAAAAAGCATGGCAATCCACTGGCAAAAGCCTGGGTGAGCAGGTGAGAAGTTGCTGTAATGCAGGTTTTTGTGCTCTTGCTATAGTGGTATATTTTCAGAAAGCAACAGCCTACAAGCTTGCCCAGCTATCTACTCATGGGGGCTGACAGCAACTTACTGATGTGGTCCAGATCTATCTCCTGTGAGCAAGAGGTTTTTGTGCATTAACTTGTATCTTGCAAGAGACAAGCCCTGAGTTTTATGATGAAACAAAAACATTAAAAAACTTGCCACTACACCCTGGGTAATGGAATGACTCTGGGAAAGAGCATAAGTTCAATGAGCTCCCATGAAAATTGACAGGTTCTGGGAACACTCAATACTTTCCACGCAATAACCTGGTATCTTGCAAACCAAACTTTTAAAAGTAGACCAGAGTTCTTCTTGAGTGAAGTGGAACTGAGCCCATGGGGTCAAATACTGTAAGGCAATTATTTGCAAGGTATGGTCACAGTTTGCATGGACAAATCTAAATCCTTGCAGCCCTGCATTTGTAGCAATCACCTTGTTGTAAATGGAAAACAGAATGCACTTTTATCCAATTCATTTCTGCAGCTACAGAGGGAATATAGAGATGAAAATAAATGTGTAACAAAAAATCTGAAAATATAGTAAAAATATAATAGAAATGCGAAAATAAAGAAAAATTTTAAAATGTGAAAATAAATGTGCAGAGAGAACAGCTCCTTACACTTGTCATTCATAAACCTTCTGCAGAACTCCTGAAAAGTCCCTCTGTAGCTCATGGTCCTTAGGGAGCGGTGAAACTGGTAATAAGACACAACCAGGTCTTTGGGGTTGCGAGCCATGTATATTACCTACGAAAGGAGGGAAAATCATCTTACTGAAAGAGCTTTTTTCCCTGTTTCCCAAAGCATTTAAACACCTGCTGCTGCTACAGCTAATTAAACATGAAGACATTTTTACCTTAGAATTACCATTATGGAGGTCTGAAGGCAAAAACCGATATGGTAGATGGCTTTTTATGAGGCGGGGAGATGTCAGTTCCTAAAATAGAACAAAAGGAGAAACACTTCTTATTGAGCATTAGCTGTTTGCCACATCCTGAGTTCTCCTGAATTATCACACTTAAAGTCCTTTACTGTACTGCGCCACATTCACAAGTTCACTTCCTAAACTAATAGGGGTCTGGGACTAGGAATTCTGTCAGGGACTTGCATCTGTTTCTTAAATATCAAAAGGATGGATAATCTGAATGTGCAAAAATTGCTCTTTTTCAAACTGCTTCCATTTGTAGGACCCTTTCAGGAAGACAAGGTATCATCAAAAATTCTTAGCATCAGATTAACTTTGTTCCCAGTGATGCTTCTAGCAAAATTTTCTGAAAAACCTCAGAAGTTCTGGATGTATAGAGATTCAGAAAACCCTCTACTACATTTCTTCATTTTAAAATGTTAATTTTGCAATTTATTTTATCCTCTTATTTAGGCCGAACAATACACAGGTTCAACCAAGTGAGTATGCAAATGCTTTTCCCACAAAATATTTTCCACGGTAATCTTTGGGACAATGATCGTCCTATGACACAAATCATCTCCCAGTAGTTAAAACCTCATAAACTGATACTGGATCAGGTTGCTAGCACGTTGTACAGATAACAAGATCTTCAAAACCCGCTTGGATGCAGTCCTGTGCCACGTGCTTTAGGTGTCCCTGCGTATGCAGGGGGGTTGGACTAGATGATCTCTAGAGGTCCCTTCCAACCCTAAGCATTCTATGATTCTATGATTCTATGATTCTATGATAACAATGTGCAATCTCAAACTAAGCCCTCTCGCTGTTCATCATTTATTCGCATTAAGGTAACACTGAGAGTCTCCTTGTACTAGGCCTCATGCAGATGAAAAAGAGAAGCAATCTTTGACTCCCAAAAACTCTCACCCCAAAGCAGGCTGCTGCTATTCTTGGTGGTGACTAGAATCTACCCCTGCCAGGCTTTGCTAGCTCAGTTCTTTAAGCAGTGCAGATATTTTAGGATGGAGCCCAGTATTTTGCCTCATCATTCCAGGATAGGTTTGTATCAAAAGTAGCACAGCAAAGACAGGATCACAGTCACGTGCCATGTCACTAGTCTTGTTGTGAGCAGTGTGGATGTCATTTCATGTAGAATATTCCAAACTCCTCTGACTGAGCTAGAGGCTGTAGACCCACAGGTCCTGAGTCTACAAGGACCTGAATCTGTAAGACCAGACAGTGGTGAGTCTATAGATTTATGATACTGAATTTCCTCTTTTGCAAATTGAGGGAAGGGATCAAAGCAAATCTGTCTCATTTTGGTAGCTTCTACTTATAAAAGCAAGGGAGGTTCAGGACTCTTTTGCTATGGAAATGCATTGCCAAGACATTTAGGACATCAGGAAACATGTTTTAAAACATAACAGAGTACAATAAAACTTACTAAAGCAATTTTAAAGTAACCTAATAATACCCTGAATCATTCCAACCAACTGAGCAAGTCCAGTGATGAAAAGGACAAGGACACAGGATGAGATGGAGCGGTAAATATGGAGCCTAGGAAAAAGATACTCAAATGCTGAAAGTCTTCATTGAAATAAACTGTACCTTGATGATGTCCAGACCAGGCTGAGGGTACTCTAGGACTGGCAGTTGTTCATCTATATTCATTAGACCAATCTCATCGGGATCAGCTCCCTGACTCACTAGATAAACCACTTCCTGCAACAAGCCTGTGCCTGCATAAACCAAACAACAAGAGAGAACAGATTGTATTACAGTCCTTATCTAAACAGAAGCATATGAAGGGAGACCCAGGCGCAGAAATAATGACAACTGTCAGACTTGAGAGTCTGCCATGAACTAAGTCCATCACTATTGTGCTCACTCTACTTATGTCAGTTCCTTTTGTTTTATTTTAAACATGTTAAAATCTCCTTTAATTCAAAACATTAGAGACTTTTCTTTAGTAAAGCTTTAACTATAAATATCTTTTGTTTCCCAAATCTTTCATCTATGATTTGGAAAGCACTCCGCATGCACTGAACCTCTCACTGTGAACGCTAGTTAGGTAAATGTTGCTATTTCCATTTTAGAAATAATAAAAAAAAGAAAATCAGAGATCATCCCAGCTCAAAAACTACATTAGTGGCAGTACTGTGAAACTGGCACCACCTCCTCTATTTTCAACTCCAGGCAACTCTGTGCTGTGGAATGATTTCAGAATCTAGTTATATTTTTCTTCTATGGTTTGAATAAACTGCTGAATACATCAGTGTGTTGCAAGTCAGTCATAAGCCTGTTCGCTCTGCATTTTAAAGCCCAAGCAAAGATTTTATACATCTAAATTAACATCCATATAGTAGCAGTCAGGATCTGTCCTCGTGACTCTACTGAGCACAACCCTTGTTCTCATTAAAAATTTATTCCAACAGGAGACACTGTGGTTCTCTGTAATTTACTTCTGCATTTCTAATTCTGCTTGCAAGAAAAGTACTACTACAGCGAACTTTTTTTCTGTGAAAGGAAAAGGAACAACTGTATGAAGATATACATAATCACAGTCTTTTCTTGCTCAGTCTTTAAGCAATTACTTTTCTTCCCTCTCCACACTCATAAAAGACTTATTTAAAGAGTTATCAACCTGGTTTTCTCTATACTTTGAAGCATTTGAAGAACCTCCTCCCCCAATTTTGGTTTAAAAAGAACACAAACAAACAAAGCCTTTATGTAGTTAAATTACAGAAATAAACAAAGCCAAACATGCTTTTGGTTTGGAAATGATGGTTTAACAGAGCAATCCACATATGAGACTTAGGAGCCAGGGCTGTCCCTGAGAACATCAGCTGGCAGGAAAGACAGACCAACTGGGCCTACTGTCTACACGCATGTGACTGGAGGCCCAAGTACAGGGCCTCACTGGGGGTGATACAGAAACAGTAATCAGTCTACCCAAAAAATGAAAAACAAGATTAAGCCTCTTTAGGCACGAGGATCAGCATCCAGCAATGCAGCCTGCCTTCTTCTGGCTGCTGCTGACTGCAGATCCACATTTCATCCTGGAAGAAAACATCTGGTCCTGCTAGATACAAAGTCAGATGCCAAAACAGATGTAGAATTTGTTTAGGTTTATCCAAATCCAGTAAAAAATGAGCCAGTCAGCATCTGGGAAACTTCAGTGCACTTTATCTAAGAAACGCCTGTCCCTGACAAGCTCATTTGTTATGTTGATATAACGTTTCAGGAGAAAATAAAGTGTTCCAATTTATCACAGAACATCTGGGAAGAGATGGGATGGGAAACAGTAGTGATAAACCATTGCCAGAACTGGTTAAGTTTTTAGGAGAGCCTTAAATCAACTGTGAACCTGCAATTCCACACTGTACAGAAATCAGGACTCACCAAGAACCCACACAGCCCTACACAAGCCCCCATGATGAACAGAGACTCTTCACTTGTGCCCCTTTCTTATAGCCAAGATCTCAGCAGCACTAGCAAAGCTGGTTCATGGCCACACTGCCTCTGCTTATCAGTAGTAACTGCTTCGAGGGCAACCAGACAGCTTAGCTAGACAGCCAGCAATGCTTCAAAATGCCTTGCAGTTATTCCTTTTTATTTTTATTACTTTTAACATCAGATTTAGTCTTTGTAGCAGAACTATTCTTTCGTGCAGCTGATCTCTGGCTCCTCTTACCACTTGCTGACCATTGGCATGCTTTCCCATGTGACCCTTGAGCATCACAGATTTTTTCAGGGCGAAGTGGCAGCTATAAAGTAGGTTGTTTCCTGCAAAACTTTCCTTCTCTCCACTGCTTTTAGTGCAGTTTATCTCCAGAGTTTTCTCCCCTCCATATCAGGCATGGGACAAACCACCAGCTTAAGGCTGCAAAGGTCCTCGATACGTTCCTTGTGCTCACACCCTTGTTTGGAAAAATCACCGGGAAAAATTCAATGAACTAATGCTAGCATTAAATTTTTTTTAGCACTCTCAGTTAGTTGTGCCTTATTTGATCTTTTTGATCAAGTTTCAGCTAATACAATGCAATGCACCCATTATGACTTTTTAATAACATTTGCAGACGTAAGTGCTCATTAAAAATAAGGGCTGCTAGAGATGTCACAGACTGCCTTAGCAAGTGCAGTAAAGCAAGCGCAGTAAAGCAATTCCCCATATAGATCTCCTAATTGCCTACAAACGTCTTCCACTTTCACCAATTTCAATGTGTATTTGCAGGTCAGTATGACAGCTTCATCTTCAGCCTACAACAGTGGAGGAAAAATTAAATTTTGCCACTGAGGAAAAAACAAAACCCACACCCTAAAAATATTTCTTCTTTAGCTCCATGGGTTCTGTTCCTCCTACATCTTGGAATTCCAAAAGGCTTCATGATAAAGATCTTTATTGTTATGAATGAGGGTTTTAATAACAAAGATAAGGCATACACCTTGACAACTTATTTTCCCATTCTTCTATTACAATGTTCCTAGGTAAAACTTAGGATTCAGAATAATGGCTAAATGTGTTATTTTTTCAATACTGAGTGACCTCTGAAGTATATGATGGAGGGCCTGATTTTCAGAAAGGGCTGAGTACTCATCCCCTGAAATTGAGTCCTTTTTAAGTGGCCCAAATGTCCCTTAAAATCAAGTCTCTTGTCAAGGAAGTCTATGGGACATGAAGAAATTGAACCCAGATCTGAAACTTATGGAAACAGCGTAGATAAGACGAGATTTAAAAGAAGAGTTAACCACAGGATTTCTGGCAGCATCCAGTAAACAGTGTCTCAGCTTTTGGGACTTACTAATCAGTTTATTTTTCATTTTCATAGAATTATTGTTACTCTAGAGCAGAGGATGCAGCGTGTCTCATGGAGACGGCCAGCACGAGCAGCTCACACAGAAAGGATTACTCAGACTTTTGTGCCAGCTCGCTCCCGAAGCTATAGCAATGGGAAAAGTATCTCACTCATGGGTGTTTCTCCTGGAACTTTAGCTGGGATGCTCATCACAGATGTGTTCACTAGTGAAGCAGTTTGTGTGAAGTTACCCCAATTCATTTGAGACCAAATCAGCCAAATTAGCTTAAGGAGTTTATGTTTTCGACATAAGCTCACCTGGCAAATATTGCCCAAGGCAAATTAAAAAGTCTTCACACAAACGCTCTGTGGACAGTTCTGTAGGAATAGTGACCAATAGCAGGCAAAGGGCACTAACAACTTGTACAGATATCACAGAATCCTTAAGGTTGGAAGGGACCTTCAGAGATATGCAAAAACAGGACATCTACTAGTGCTCTTGAATTATTTCCTTCAATTTCTACCCTCCAAATGAAATGTTCTCCCACTGCAGAAGAGAGCACAACCCTGTTAAAAGAAACAAAAAATGTATTGTATAAAGAATACCCTATGTCAGGAATACGAAAATAGTAGACAAATGAATTAAAGCTTCAAGCTTGTTTGCTACCTTACCAGCTATCTGATGGACAGAATTACAGAATTCCCTTTTATTTTTCCCACACTTGTTCAAAGTCATCCCAGTACATTCAGCTGTTATCTTCCCTTCCTGAGCTTTTCTCTTTCATGGACACTTGCATGACTCAAGTCAGGGATGCTACTCCTATGGTAACAATAACGTGAGCATGAAGATCATGCACTTGTGCAGAAGGGCAGGCAAGCTGAACAGTAATTTATAGACAAAAAAATAAGTGCTTTTATTAGCCAATATACGCTAAGGGGCAGAATATGTCTCAAACCTCTGAAAATTATCTAACAAATTCAGTCTGTAAGCATAAAATCATAATGGTAATTCGTCACAGTGGATATGTCAAAGGTGATAACACCACATTTTCAAGTCTCACTCACCTCCTCACTGGATTGTAGATAGTAAAGTACCTGCCCTTACTGCAGCTAACAAACATCATCTGTACCTTGCCCCTCTGCTTCCTCTGGCAGCCCCATCCCTGCAGTCTTTTAGAGCCTATACCAAAAATATGCCCAAATTGTATCATACATTATCCCAGCAGGAGTCATCTCCGACACTACATAAGCCCTCCCACTGTGCCTAATTCCCTTCCATTTTCATACAGGGAACACATAGTGGTACCAAGGATAACAATGCAGAGATGAACTTTGCTGTAATGACAAGTCATTGTTTTTTTAAAATCACCCTCAAGGACTTCCCTGTGTTAAAGAGAAGGGCACAGTTATCTATTCAGTATCACTGATTTCTAGGACAACTGTGTCCCATTCTGCATTTTATTGCATGGAGTTGTAATATGGTCTGTGGCTAACTGCAGAACCTTTCCATGAGTTCTAGTCATTGAAATAGCATCAAAAGAGTCACAGTAGAGCATCCATAACAGGAATCTGTTGAGGCAGTTTTCCTGGCCTTTGCTGTGGACCTGCTCCTCTCCCTCTATGCTGGGTATATTTGGGAGGATACCTGCTACTTCTGAAAGTGCCTTGCTTGACATTCGGGCTTACCTAGTGATCCAAAGTGGAATTCTATGCCCCTCTTTCAATCCCTGGCAAGAAAATTCTTAGGCAAAACTTTTGTTTTTGCATATACCTGATGGCTAAATTGCAAGAAGGCAGCCCACTGATACTATCGTGTGAGAGCAAGGCAGGTAAAAGCCACATAGGAAAGGGAAAGGGAGCATAATTGTGCCTCAAAAATTCAAGAAACGTTCGCCTTCTACGCATGCAAGTATAGAGCCCCTTTAGTCAGCTACCAGTTGTCTAAAATTAGGGATTAAACTGTTTATCTCACACAGAATCCCCCTCAAGTTATGGCTATCCATCACAGGACCTGCTCTCTGCAGTATCAGCCTTCGCAAGGAACCTCTGCCCTCAGCCACGTTTAGCACTGTCACTCCATCTCTGCCTGCTGAATTGCAAGTTTAGGCAAACTACAGACATTTCTATTGCTGTTTTTCAAAATTAGAAATGGAAACAGATCCTGTTGGCAGTATGAAAGAGGATCTGCAAATCTATATCACCATGGGTTTTCAGAATGGCAGCAAAATCCTTGCTGTACACTGTTTCTAACTGAGAGCACTGGTGATTCAATAGCAGCACGACACTGATCATTATTAACGTGCACCTCAGCTATGTACGCCGAGCAATCCAATTTTAGCAATGCCTGCAGCTGTTTTGTGCTACTCTGGGAGCCATGATCAACAGTGAAGAGGCTTTACCTGGACGGTTAGCCTAGGTTTATGGTCAACATAAACAGGATGGCTGCATGAACAGGACACTGCAAAGGAGCCCATGCAGTGACAAACCTGCACTGCTGCACACATTGCTGCTGTGCACCCAGCGTGATTTTCATCTCAGGAGCTTCACTCTTTTCTCATTTCCTTGGCTTAGACAAATCTGTTAGTCATGTACTTGGATGCAGTGAAGAGCTAATTCAAAAGCACTGTCTACATCCCATATGGTGATCCGATTTCATTATATGCTGTCCAGAACTTCAGCCTTATAAAGGATGATGGCCATCGCATCTTCCACTACAAACGATGGATGTTTAGGAGAATATGACATTAAAATTTTAGACGGATTTTGGCATTAGCAAGAAAAATATCTCCTTGGCTGTTTCTCCTTGGCTAGTTTCAGCCCCCCTGGAAAGCCTCTTTTCTGCTGTTCCTCTATCACTCCTTTCACAGAGGCTTCCCCAGCCTGCAGGCCTATTTGGCCAAAAAGTTTAATAACTGAACATTTCCTCTGCTGGGCTGTCTTGCCTGCGTACATACAGTAAAATGCTTCAGCGGTACTGCATCTGCAGGTCACAAGATTAATACGCGACATAAATTGATGAAATTTGTTTTGTGGGAGTTCATAAAGGACTTTAGTATACAGGACCATAAGTATTTCAGCTCTCATGCCATAGCACTCCGGATTCTCCTAAGTCTTACATAAAATTTTAACAGGGTCAAAGTGAAGAGATCTCAGGGGCTTTCTTTCATATTTGTATTACTACTTGCTCTGCTTTAATGTCTAGATGCTTAATTCAAATTCAGAGCCACAGTTTGCTAAGTTTCTCTGTAAAAACATAAACAGCAGACAACACCTGCTAGCCCAGAGAATTTCTTGTCTTCATATGTAAAACAAAAAAAAAATAGTGGAGATGAAACACATCCACAGGACTCCAACAGAAAATGGAGACAAAGAGATTAAATGTCTCATCCAAGGTCACAGACTCTCTAGCCAAGAAGTCAAATCATACATCCAATGCCTCCAGGCTAGCATCCCTTCCAAAGAAATATATATGGGAAATCAAAGAGGGTAGAGATCTTTCTCCTCTGTAGAGGTGGTATGAATCCCCGCTGCAGTAAAAATAAGAAAAGTCTTCTTTTAATAAAAGATTACATAATGAGAATGAAGAATGTCATGTGCTTCATCTAATTTAAGTTCCATGTTCAAGTATTTTGCTTCCTTTCATTAATATCTTCTGCATGAAAGATGAACACTAACATGAAACAAGAGTGACTGGCTATTGGCTTAGGGATGATTCATGGCATTTGCTAATTCTTTAGTCTTTGAGAACATTATTGTCTAATCCAGTCAATACTGATTTTCCCTATCTCCAGGAAATATTCTTTAATCAGGGCAATTTTTTTTTCTTTTCTTTTTCTTTTCTTTTTTCTCTGAGCCTTCTTTCAAAAGCAACTTACTCGAGTTTACTGCTACTTCGGAATAGAAAAGCAATTATGATATATTTGCAAGAGACTCAACAAAACCTACCAGGTAACTTCTTCCTCTTGGCTGCCACTTGTTCTGTCTCTAGTAACGTCTCTTTGCTGGTTTGATAAAAGGTTCCAGAAAGACCCTGCTAGCTAGGTAACAAAAGCAGGTATTCCTTACCTACAGATTTTCCCTTCTCTAACCCTCTTTCCTGCTTGAGGCACGTATTAAGTTCTACTCTCTCCAAAATCAGTGAAACACACGAGTGGCAGGCTTCCCACGGTTTTCAATTACTTATTATTCAATGCTTTAATTTATCATTTCTTTGCCTTGCAATAATATTTCAGACTCCAAGTCAATACCAGACTGCTTTTTGAGCAATACATAAATAAAACAAAAGATAGTCCCATTTCAAAAGGGCTTTAACATCAGAAGATCCCGAAGGCCCTGACCCACAAACATTCCTGTGCAAGCATTGCTTTCTGCAGTAGATTGGTCCTGTGAACTCAACAGAGTGACTTAAGAGAGCAGGAATATTTATTCTTCTGACTGGAAGGAATATGACACTGGTCATCAAAAAACAAGAGCATGAAATTGGATTCGAATGTGAACTCTGCAAATCAATATGACAGCTCACAACACATCTCCATCACTCACTTTTCTGTTCCATTTTCTTTGCCTAAGGTGGCCATTCTTTTAGGCTAGTTGGTATGAGACCTGATATACATTCATATTGCATTAAAGCCGTGTGGTACCAGGGCTTTATAAAGTCAAGTGGAGAAACTGAATAAAGGCAAATGCTTCCATTCTGATTTCTAAGCCATTAACTAACACATTCCTCCACATTCACAAAACTAATGGAGGCTGAATATCTTTCCAGATAGATTTCCATGAGGTGAGACAGCTTCACTGAAGAAAAGAATATCAAATGGGTAATCGCTTGGGTAAAAAGTGTGTGGATTTTCCTGCTATTCTCACAATTTCTTGGGATGTGCCTCTAGGGCAGTAACACCTAAGTTCACTTTTCAAATGAAAACTGGTTAAACTCAATGCAACAACATGCTGCAAAGCAGACAGGCTTTTATAAATCCCAGGTGACAGCAGAATCTGGTTATTTGGCAAGAGGAGAAACTGTTAGCACAAAATAATACCAATAATACCTCCTGGGTCAGAGTGAGGGGGTTCCGAATGGGAATTCTGGCAATTATGGCCAATCAGCCAACTTAGCACACTCCTGTCCATGTAGATACTCTCAGTGTCTGCGCTGCAATGCGAGGTCACCTCAGTCTAGCCATTTCCAGGCTAAACCACTGCAGCCAACTCACGGCACTGTGTCTGCCTGACAGCTCCCAGGCTAGAAACTTCCCTCGCGTGGGCACATCCCTGGGCAAACTTTCAGCCCGATTCTCCTCTCAGCTATGTGTACACAGATCAGGACTGACTGCCAGCAGTACTAGAGCTTCTAAGCCTGGGTTAAGTGGGAAGAGAATCAGATTCCCTGTGCCTCGGCTTATCAGACTCTCGCAACCGCCGTGTTTGGCAGCTGGGAAGCGAGCCAGGGCACAGAGCAGGTTCAACTCACCAAGCAGCAGCTGGGAGCACTGATGGGCAGGTAGGAGAGGAAAGGATGTTGTGACTCCCCAGCATAATCGCTGTGGCTCTGCACAGACTCGTCACCCACTCACCGATTGCTCTGGTGGATAACTGCAGATGATGTATTAGTTGGCAAGTTAGACGTCTACCAACTGCAGGACACCCCTGCAAGCACAGTTCCTGTGTAGCCATGTAGGGTGAAGCCAAGCAGTAATACCCTCCATGTTAAATAATAAGAATATTATTGTTCAGTACAATAACCTTCTGAGATCTAAACCAGAAACCAACCTTGCTGACTAAGTGTAACATCCCTGCAAAAAGATTTTACAAACTGAGAAAACAAAATGTGAAGGGTGGGATTGTACAAGACAGACAAAGCAAGATTTCCAAAAAAGGCATAAGCATTTGGTATCTTTTCTTTAAAGTGCCTTTCTTAAAGCAAGGCTATTTATTTCACTGATATGTTTTTATATAATGATCCCACAAAACTGAGACTGATAAGATGTTGAAAGGAAGAAACGAGAGACCAGAACTAAGAAATTCTTAAACCAATCTCACAGCCAAAGTCCAAGTACCTACATCCTCAACAGTTCAAGCATCCTTTTGCCTGAAACATAATAGTTTCTGATAGTAAGGTCTGACTAAGAGAATATTCTAGATGATAACCTGGAACTTGTTGATTT